TGAAAGAAACACGAGTTGTTTTTTGGGCAGTATACCCTTGTGTTCACCTGTGGGCTCCCTCCCCCTTTGTTTTTTCATGAGCACTCACCCGAATGGGTGCTCAAGCCTTACCATTGTTTGCACCGCTTGTTGACAGAAATGCCCAATAGCGATTCTGAAATCTGGAGGGTGGATGGGCAGGCGCACTGTCCAAAATCCGCCAGAGCCGCTCTTCTCCACCTGCCTCCCCACATAGCACTGCCGGGTGAGTCCCTTCTCTTCTCTGGGCTGCGGCATCGTCATCGTGAAGGGGAGAAACCAGTGCCCGGCTCTGAGGCTTGTGAGGCTCAAGTGTGCCTGCTCAAGAGGAGTGATTAATCACAGGACGGCATACCGGTGCCTTCAGACCCGCGTCTCCCCACCCCGGAACCCCGTGAGAATGTTCCTGGTTCTGTGGTTTTACCCAGGTTGACTTTAATTTACAACAGACCTCTGTTGCCTGTGCCGTAAGCACAGCGCTGCTTTTAATTTGGGTTCACACAATTGTATCTTTGGAGAGATCCTCTCAAGTTGGTCCTTAACTCCTAGAATGTGGGAATGCCAAAGAGAGGCTTCCCGATGGAAACAAATGGAGACATCGGAGGCAAAGTTGAAGTTAGTGATGCTTAGTATTTGTGCAGTGAAACAGAATGTTTTCTTTTGCCGGACCGTGTATCAATAAATGATATGGTTCTTTCTAGTCTTCTACATTGCAGGACTAGATCTGAGTTACCTAAGACAACTATGCATAAAATGGTATGAATACAGTTTTGAAAATGAACCATAAGTTATACCAGCTGTATACTTTTCTGCATCATCTTTGCAACTACATTCCTTCTGGCATGGTCTTCCTATTCTTTGTGACAGTTAGTTACAAGTATACAACTTTTATGTGAGTCTCACATAGCTTCCCTCACAATGTGCACACAATATTGGTGGCTGCTTTTTGCCTTACCATTGCATCATCAATGTTTTTCCATATCACAATATTGTCTTCTTGTTGATGGTCTTCAAGGAGCAGATACTGTTCCATTTGTTGCATGTGTCAGCTCTCAAACACTTACCAGTTGTTGAGCACTTAAATTGTTCCTGTTTTATATATTATTCATATCGCAACTATTATTTTTCATCCATCGTGTCCATCTTCTCTTAAATTGTTTTCTGAGGATAACTTCCCAGCAATGAGACAACTGTTCAAAGAATTTGAACAACTTTCTAATTTCTGATCTATTGCGCTGTATTATACTGCCTCTTTGAGCATTCTTTTTTTTTAAGTTTATTTATTTTTGAGAGAGAGACAGACAGAGTGTAAGCAGCGGAGTGCCAGAGAGAAAGAGGGAGACACAGAATCCGAAACAGGCTCCAGGCTCTGAGCTGTCAGCATAGAGCCCAATGTGGGGCTCAAACTCTGGAATGGCGAGATCGTGACCTGAGCTGAAGTTGGACACTCTACCAACTGAGCCACTCAGGAGCCCCTCTTTGAGCATTCTTGAACAGCACTGGGCAGCACTGATGGGGGATGGTCCTTAAGATTTACAGTCTTAAATTGGAAAACAGCTTACCTTTGGGGTTATTTTAATGGGGAAACTTAGAGGCTAGGACCAAACCAAGGCAGAGATTTCTGAGCTTGGCTTCTTGACTTGTACAATTGATTCTGTCATTTCATGACACTTGGCACTTCATTATGTCTAAGCAGTGAGCTATTTCATTGTGTGTGTGCAGGTGTGGGCAGAACTCAAATGCTAGTCCTGTTAAAATTGTGAGAGAGAGTGTGCTGGATGTCAAGTATCCCATAAATGTGACTCACCTGTGACCATTGAAGAAACTTGGACTTATGGCAACGTGGTACAGGCAGAAGTTCAAACTCTGCTTGCAGGGGCCTGTCAGGTGTTGTCTACAAGCAAAACAGCAGGGGCTGGGCGATACACAAGGTCAGGGCAGGGTGAAGTGGGGAATACAGGCCTTATCCAGGAATGTGCTGGTACGTGACTCACTCTGATAGCTTCCACAAAGGAATGCCAGCCCGGTATCTTTAGCACTTCCAACTTTTCAAGAGAATTTGGAAATCTTAAGTTTTAGGTGTTTTGGTCCATTTGGGTGACTGTAACAAAACTACCATAGACTGGGTGGCTGAGATAATAAACCTTTATTTCTCACAGTTCTGGAGGTGGACAGTTCAGGATTAAGTGCTGGCAGGATTGGTGTTGGGTGAGAGCTCATCTCCTGGTGCCTAGATGGATTTCTTTAAGCTATGTCCCCATATGTCCCCATATGGCAGACAGTGTAAAGGAACCATTTGGGCCTCCTGTGTAAGGGAACGGATCCCATTCACTGTGAACTCATAGGCCACCAGTTTGGTCAGGTGGTTTTAAAGATGCACACTGGCAAGATTCTACCATGAACCGTTTCCCTCAAAAATTGTGGTTTTAAAGTAAAAGATATTTTAGTAGTTTGATTTGCCCATCATTTACCAAGTAGCACAGAGCCTATGTTCCAAACAATGCATGCTGTCATATTTGAAATGGTGTTGCATTTAATCAATATTATTTCAGATTTCTGGTGATCATAATAAAATCATACCAACAATTGAGTGCTTAGATCAATCCAGTGGAAAAAGTTATCTGTCCTGTCAAAACTCTTACTTTTATCTCTTAAAAAATTCATCCCTAACAGTCATATAAGAAGCCTGTTTGACATGCTAAAGAATACCTTGAGAAACACCTTATATCACACTTCCTGTGAGGCCAGAACCCAGGACAGCTTAACAGGGTCCTCACAGGCTGTCAGGGTGTCACAGGCTGCAGTCAAAATGTTAGCCAGGCTGTGTTCTCAACTAGAGGCTCACTAGGAAAAACAAGTTTGCTTCTGGGATCACTTAGGATGTTGGCAGAATCTATTTCCTTTCTGTCATAGGCCTGAGAACTTGGGCTTTCTGCTGTCTCCTGGAAGCTGGCCTCAGCTCCCGCAGGCTGGCCACAGTCCCCTCCAGTGACCCTCTCCATAGGCGGTGTGCAGTGTGGCAGCTTGCTCTTCAAGGCAAGCAGGAGAGTGAGAGCAGGTTTTCTAGCATGACTGAGCCTTACAAAGCATGACATAATCATGGGATTCATGTCCTGTCCCCTGTGTCCTACTCTGGTTAGGAACAAGTCACAGGTCCTGCCCACACTCAAGGGGGAAGGCTTATACAAAGCCAGGAACTTCAGCAGGCGGCACTCACCATAGAGGTACCTTAGAGTCTGCCCGCCATTTTCAGTGCCCTGAAGTGCTGCCTAGCACATACTAGACACTCAGTAAGTGCTGGTAGTTGAATAAATTAATGTGGCATCTATTACTTCTTTGAACCATGTATTGTTAATGTTTTTCCCCAAGTCTGTGGTTTATCGTTTGGTTTTATTTATTACATGTTTTGATATGTAGAAATGTTAAATTTTAATTCAGACAAATCAACCAAATTTTCCCTTGGTTTGTTACATTACTTTACATCTCAAGGAGTCCTTCTCCTATCTAGAGATCAGATAAATATTTGCCTCGATTTTCACCTAGATTTTTAATGATTTTTTTTTTTACATTTAACTCTGACTGATCTAATACATTAAGAACTAGAGGGAGAGTTGTAACATGATATAGTGAGCAATCCTTTTTTTCCCCCCACTAATCTTTGCTACTTTATTTAACTATATTGAATTATTCTATACTCACTGCTGGGCTCTCTATTCTGTTTCATTTATTTGTCATTCTCTTCTTTCTTTAATTGCACACTTAAAAAATATAGCATTGACAAGAAAATTTCCATTAAAAAAATAAAAATTACAGCATCACTAGTCAGAGATGCCGAAGTAGTTACTATCAGATTCATTCAGTGTAATAATTAGGTACATGGTCTAAGCTGTTATAACAGAGAGACTCCAAAATACAGAGGCTCAAATAAAATGGAAGCATTTTGGTATTTTGTGTAACTGTGTAGAGGTATGTATAGTCCAGAGCTAGAGAGGCAGCCCTTCTCCACCATCATCTAGGGACCCAGGCTCCTTCTGCCCTGTAGCTGTCCAGCCCCCAGGGCGCTGTCCTGGTGTGTGTGGGTAAAGCTGTCTCACTCCCACATCCATGCTTCAGTCTATGGAAGGGAGTGGTGGAAGTCCTAGGAAAGCACCTTGGCCTTTGAGTTCATGAGCCAGAAATGGCATATTATTTTTCCCTGCATTCCTTTCATTTAGACTAAACCATGTCATAAAGAAGATGTAGTGTGTGTGTATATATACATACCACATACATATATGATATATGATATATATAATGGAATATTACTCTGTGATTAAAAATAAGAATGAAATCTTGCCATTTGCAACAATGTGGATGGAACTAGAGGGTATTAAGCTAAGCTAAATAAGTCAGTCAGAGAAAGACAAATACCGTATGATTTCACTCATATGTTTAAGAAACAAAACAGATGAACATAGGGAAAGGAAAGGAAAAATAAGGTAAAAACAGAGAGGGAGGCACATTATAAGAGACTCTTAAATACAGAGAACAAACTGAGGGTTGCTGGAGGGGTATTGGATGGGGATTGGCCTAAATGGGTGATGGGCATTAAGGAGGGCACTCGGTGGGATGAACAGTGGGCATTATATGTAAGTGATGAATCACTAAATTCTACTCCTGAAATCATTAGTACACTGTATGTTAACTAACTCACATTTAAAATAATTTAAAACTTAAAAAAATAGACTAAACCATGTTGCCACATCCACCTTCAAGAGAGACACTAGGAAATATGGTATCAAACTGGGTGGACATAAATTTGGCTAAAATTTGGGAGGATCCATTATTAAACAGAAGGAGAATGGGTACCAAGGACAGCTAATGGCCTTTGCTACAGTCTAGGATTCATAGCTACAGGAAAGTAATGATCATTTTTGTCAAGTGAAAAATCTGCCTTTGGATATGACAATAAACTATAAATATGTCCTGATTTTTGGTTTTAGATGGCCAGTAACCCATGTGCCAGGTAGCATTCTATGCCAGTCTTGAATGCCAACAGGAAGTCACTGGGCAGCAAACTTCTTCCAGGATCATAACTGGGCTATTGGAGTAACTCGAAAACAAGGAAAACAAGAATGGAGGCCATGGCAAAAAGAAATCGAGTTCGGTCTACCTCTCCTCCGGATGGAGGCTGGGGCTGGATGATTGTGGCCGGCTGTTTCCTTGTTACCATCTGTACCCGGGCAGTTACCAGGTAGGTGGGATTTCCTTCTTGATTATTAAGATGACCTGGCTTGTCTTTGCTTCTAAGTCCTCTTCATTCTATTTCTGAACCTTTCATTGTGAAAGTATCAGTGTATATGTATGGTGTGTGTGTGTGTGTGTGTGTCCGTGTGTGTGTGCATTTCCTTTGCCCAGAGGTCTTTTTCTTTGCAAGGAATGTGATTTTCTGATACTTGGAAGTCCTAGATAGTGGTGTCTTTTATAATATCTGGCACATAAACCTGGAGTGTTAGGACATTTTTAGACTAAATGTTGTGGCTATTCTAGCCATTTGTTTTCATAAACAGCTCATCCCAGAAAAGAAAAATACATAAGGTCAAAACCATCTTTGAAAACCTCTTGGCTCACCAAATACTGAGCTGTTGGAAAGCTTAATACCTAGAATATAAATTCTTCTGCTTCCTTTTACATTTGGCTGGAGGCTAAGTTCTAGGTTGAAGGAAAGTAGCAGTGTAAGTACAGTCTTCTCATTCTTGCTCATTTCTCCTCTTTCTTTTCTCCAGTGCCCTAGTGTTGAATATGCTTAAGTTAAACTCCTATACATCAGACTCATTTATATATTTGGAGTGTATGTATGCTTGAAGTCTGCATGTGCTAGTTCTTTCCTCTACTTACGCTTTCATTCAATGAAAACTCTTTACTCTCTCTGGCAACACACCCTTAGCAGTGAAAGAAAGTAATTTGCACTGAAAACTTTATTTGATGACATCATCAATAAAAGCATCGGTGTTCCCTCCTATAACAAATATATAATGAAGGAAAGAAGCAGGATATTTGGTTTTGGTAAAATAAGGGTTGGTTGATTATGTGTCATAAAAAACTATAGATTTGTTTAAAATAATATGGTATTGAGTCTGATTTTTCTTGTCTGTATCATGGATCTTGTGTTCTTTGTATGAGGAGTCCTAGAGTTGAAAAAGAAGCTCTTGGTTCTTACAGGTGGAAGCTTCCATCATTTCCATGATGGGAAAGTTCTGGGCATGAGTTCATTGTTTACAAGAAGGTTGATATCTTTATAAGAATGTAGTGGAGTCTTCATGATGACTTTTAGCGAGAACAGGTTTATTTACCTCCATGAACAGATTAGGACACTGGTGATCATAAAAGTTAGGTGAGTTACCTACAGTTTTGGTCTAGTGGGACAGAACTGGATTGGATTTCTGGTCTTTTACTTTTTGTCTTGTTTATTTGCCATTGTACATGCACATGTAATCCACCGACTCTTTCCAACACAAATCACATTATCTTCCTATCTCATTATTTCTCATACGTGCATTGTATCTGGCCAGTCTTCCACACACATGTATATATTCACCCACATATCCTCTCTCAGTGTCTTTTCTTTGCAAGAAGGGACTACTTCAGTCTTCGCCTTTGTTCTGCTCTAGGATGTAGGCACTTTGAGGAAGTTCTGTGGCCAGTTCCTAGTTCCCTGAAACACTCCGCACCTTATCCTCTAGAACAGTGCAGTATTACCAGACATAGATTTTTAAAAATTGCCTTGGTGATGGAATCATTGTCTTGAGATCTTACTTCCTAATGTCCATAGGGTTGTCACATCAGTAATGAGAAGTCATGGTGCCGGGGGACAATTATCTCTAAATTCTTCTTACAGAGGCTCTCTACCCTCCTTGTCCCGTTGGTAACCATTCATGTTAGCTGTCACCCCTAATTCATATACAAACAATTGCCCATGAAGACTTGGAGACATCTGGATTGTTTGAGTGTTGTACTCTGGAACTATGGAAATAACTTGGGGTAGTGTCTGTAGAAAATTGAGGACTTACATCAAGGACACTGATTTCTTGATAGTCTTTTATGCTCATTGGCATCTTATGTGGCTTGTCTTGTTTGGCAAGGCATTGGATCTCAGTTTTTTCTCAGTCATAGTAGAATTACCGTGGAACCCAGGACTGTCACCAAAGGCTGAACGTCTTTTTTTTTTTTTTTTTTTTTTTTTACAAATAGTTTATTGTCAAATTAGTTTCCACATAACACCCAGTGCTCATCCCCACAAGTGCCCTCCTCCATGCCCATCCCTCCTCCCCCCCACATCCATCAGTCCTCAGTTTTTGTCAGCATTCAAGAGTCTCTCATGGTTTGCCTCTCTCCCTTTCCCCCACCATTTCCCCCCTTCTTCTCCCGGTTGGTCCTCTGTTAAGTTCCTCCTAGTCCTCCTACACGTGCACACATATGATATTTGTCCTTCTCTGCCTGACTTATTTCGCTCAGCATAACACCCTCAAGGTCCATCCATGTTGCTACACATGGCCAGATTTCATTGTTTCTCATTGCCATGTAGTATTCCATGGTATAGATAAACCACATCTTCTTGATCCATTCATCTGTTGATGGACACTTAGGCTCTTTCCATGTTTTAGCTATTGTGGAGAGTGCTGCTATGAACATTGGGGTACATGTGCTCCTATCAAAGGCTGAACGTCTTGCATATTATTTTAGGTTGTATCCTTAAGTTTTCAACTTCAACTGAATGGACATCCAGTCCACTAATATCTAACTATGCATTCATTGTGGACTAGGTTCAATCTAGGTTTTTCTAAAAACACCGAGATGTTGGAACACCACCTGGTAGGTTTGGGCTCAAATAACTGAAATACAGATCCAAGTGGGCTAAATATACATCAGGTAAAAACAGCATGTAAAATAACATTTGTGACAGAGGGGTTAATTCTGACCTGGGAGTTCAGGGCAGGCTTTTGAGAGAAGTTGTCCCCGGAGTGAAGTCTTGAAGAATGGATAGTATTTGGCCAGGAGGAAATGAGAGGGAAAGAGGTTTCAAGCTGCATCAGGTCCATGTACTTCATCTGCTACTCACTTTGTGGTAGCAGTGGGCAGCCCCCCTTCCTGAACTGCCAAGGGTTTAGCCAGAAACCAGAAGGGGATTGTGGCTGGTAGCAAAGACCTGTTCTCAGGGGCTAATGGGAGAGGCTGAGAGGGGCATAGCTGAGCCAATTAAGCTTAGAGGAGAAAAGTGTGAAGACAAGGCCAATAGTGGAGCTAAGTGTCATGAACGGGCAGCAGCCAAGAGGACCGGAGACGGGGCCAAGGAAAGCAGCCCCAAGGGAGAATTGTCAATTCAGAGAATCAGTGCCTATTGTGCAATCAAGTCTTTTTTTCTCTATTTAAACCGTGTACTTAAAAATTAAACCATACTTCAGGTGGTAAAAATTTGAACAACACAGAGGTGCATAAAATAGTCTTTTTCTCCTCCCTTCCTGAATGCCATTTCCACTACCCAAAGTTAACCTTGTTATTAGCTTCTTCAGGCCTGCGCCGCCCTGCCCCCGCCCCTCAAAATGTAAGAAACTTATATCCATCTGTAAAGCATATTATTATTCTTTTCCTTGACACCAATAGGATCATACTATACACACTCTTTTGAACTTTTTTTTTTTTTGCTTAATAATATCTCTTGGAAATATTTCCATATTCAGCACATAGACTCAACCTCACTGAAAAATAACAGCTTAGAATTTCATTACAAGGTTATATACATACTTTGTTTAAACACATTTTTAAAAAAATGTTTTATTTATTTCTAGGAGAGAGAGAGAGAGAGAGAGAGAGAGACAGCGTGAGCAGGGGAGGGTCAGAGAGAGAGGGAGTCACAGACTCTGAAACAGGCTCCAGGCTCTGAGCTGGCAGTCAGCACAGAGCCCGATGCAGGGCTCGAACCCATGAACCGCGAGACCACGAACCGCGAGATCATGACCTAAGCGAAAGTCGGATGCTTAGCCGACTAAGCCACCCAGGCACCCCTTAAACACATTTTTATTGAAGGACTTTTATATTGTTCCCTGGGTTTTGCTTTACAAACAGTACCACAGTCATGATCCAGACCACTTTAAAATCATATTTCAGCACTTGCCTTATAACTGACGATACTGCCTTTACATGTAAAGTTTACATAAAGCTTAAAGTTGTCTAGGCCATTAAAGCCATCATTCTCATTTATTTACTCTCTCTTCATTGATGTGTGTTGAGTACTTATTTTTTTTCTTCAAGATACCTTATTACCAAACGCACTATTTTAAGAATCACATTTCCTTGTGAAGTTATGTGACATTCTATTTGTAAACTGACAGCTTGACTTGGAGTTGATAGTTGAAAAGCAATTCTTGATTTAGATGTTCAAAGAAAACCTCTAGCTGGCAAAACCTAACTTTTCTCAGGGCACATGAATGGCTTAGTCAGTCGAGTGTCTGACTCTTGATTTCAGCTCAGGTCATGATCCCAGGGTTGTAGGATCAAGTCCTGTGTCAGGTTCTGCACTGAGCATGGAGACTTCTTAAGATTCTCTTTCCCTCTTTCTCTCCCTCTCTTCCTCTCTCCCCCATTTACTCTCTCTCTCTCTCAAATTAAAATAATAATAAATAAAATAAAAACTAAAAGTAGTACATGCTCAACAACAAAAAAATCAGAAAATAAAAGGAAAACAAAAATGATATAAAAAAGAGCACCTGGGTGGCTCTGTTGGTATGTGTCTGACTCTTGATTTCAGCTCAGGTCATGATCCCAGGGTTGTAGGATCAAGTCCTGTGTCAGGTTCTGCACTGAGCATGGAGACTTCTTAAGATTCTCTTTCCCTCTTTCTCTCCCTCTCTTCCTCTCTCCCCCATTTACTCTCTCTCTCTCTCAAATTAAAATAATAATAAATAAAATAAAAACTAAAAGTAGTACATGCTCAACAACAAAAAAATCAGAAAATAAAAGGAAAACAAAAATGATATAAAAAAGAGCACCTGGGTGGCTCTGTTGGTATGTGTCTGACTCTTGATTTCAGCTCAGGTCATGATCTCATGGTTCATGAGTTTGCGTACCACATTGGGCTCTGTGCTGAGGTCATGGAGCCTGTTTGGGATCCTTTCTGTCTTTCTCTCTCTCTGTCCCTTCCCCACACTCTCTCTCTCAAAATGAATATTTTTAAAAAGTTATATTTTAAAAAAATGT